CACATGTTACAGGAAAGCCACAATAACCTTATAAATAAAACATTCGGGCATCCTTACGTCATGAGAACCCAGGCCTGCTAGAGGCTCTCTTGGAAGAGTAAGTTGGTGATACTATCAGAGCCAAGTCATGCAGTCAGTCATCCTCTCACATTCCTCTGGGTTTTAATTAAACAATTACTTTTCAGCTTTCCTTAAGTTTCAAGGCTAAATAATGTAGGACTTATTTCCTCAGTTAAGGAGAGAGTCATTATCTGTTGCTTTGAGCCTAGACTGAAAAAATATCACAGTTCCCCAGAAAGCTGTTTAAGTTCTTAAAACTGAATTTGGGGTATTTGCTTTATTCTGTAACAAATTCTTGCCTTCTCTGGATAAGGTATTACAGATTTGAAGTTACTTTGACAAGTGACCTCAGGAACTGACCTAAACACCAATATCTCATTTTCTGTAAAATAAGAGCTGATGCTCCTTTGCTGGGGACTTGGAGATTTAGCTAATTTTGTTCCACTGAACAACAGAAATATTTTTTCATTATTATTATCATTAGAAGAAGCAAATGAGTACCGTGCCTGCAAAGAATTAGACAGCTTGTTCTCATTTCAAGACAGGAGACACACTTTGTGGTTTGGTGAAAGTAGTTTAATAAAAAAATGCCTGATTGCACCAAGGGATAGTGGTGGGTGAGGGGCAGAAGAAGAAAGCATAAAAGTGAGACTCCTCCAAAAGCAGAGTTTCAAGTTTATGAAGCCATGGAAATCTTTTCAGGAGGCATAACAAGACAGTGAAGTACAAAAGAGACATTTCCCTTTAGATATTATGAGAGGTTGGTTGGTAAACCCTGATTACCCTTGAACTGCAGTCCTCGATGGGGATCACGCCCCTGAGAGTTTTGACTCCATCAGACCCTCTCTCACTACTCCAACATGCTGCTTCCCTTTTAGCGTCACCATCTCCAGCCTCTGTCTGCAGACGACAAAACAAATTGTGTATGATAACCAAGCTCACCCACTCTTTACAAAAAGCTTTTAATTTAATTTATCTGGTGCACCTCAGTGGAGAGCAGGTGCTGAGCAGCAGCTGCTGTGGTGGTCAGCCCTGGCAGTGCAGGAAAGCCCAGGCAATGCTCCCCAGCACAGCTCGGGCTCCCTTGCTCTGCCTGCTGCTGTGCCTGACCTTGCCAGCAATCAAGGAAGTGTTTTATTTCCACTTTTTTTTTTTTTTTTAGATTAGCATAATACGGTTCAGCAAAGTTCAGTGCCAACAGTAACATTTTATGTGGAAAATAAAATGCCTCCTTGAAAGAACAGATCTGTCTGCTGTCGAGGGCTAGTTCCTGCCTTTGAATTTTAGGTAACTTCCATTCGTCATTTCCAAGTATTTAGCATGCAAACCACAGCCATGCTCTTTCCAAAGGGAATGTTTACTAAATTAAACATTAAAGGAATATGAAAGTGATTCTCTATTCTAATGACACTTAATTAGAAATAAAACATGGAAATAGATTAAAATAATTAGTCTTAATAAGCAGTAATTGCCAAGTCTTGTGCAATAGAATAGCCTTCACAATTTGGAGATGGAGAATAATGATGCTGTGGAGCTACTAACAGGCACTGATTTGAATATTAATTTCACTTGTAAAGTGTGCTTAAGTTGTTGTTTTCTTAGACTACATGGTCCCAACACTGAGATCCTTGTGTCCTTAATATCCATCAGGATAGTATCCATCCTGCTATCCATCAGAATAAATGTATGTTGGATCAAGACCATCTGAGGCAACTTCAAGTACAGAGGTCAATAATGAAATTTGATAATTCTTCATTTATGTAATGTAGAAGTTTATCCTATATACATAGAGGCTCGTTGTCTGTACTTCGTGCTTTGGACCAGTTTTTGTTTCAAGTTTCAGGGCAGCAGTAGCCCCCCATGTGCAGAGAGCAGGCAAACCACTACTCCAGCTGAAGTAGGTAATAAAACCAAACCTTTTTTACTGTTAGTTTGACTTTCTGAATCTTGAGAATGAAAGTGTGGCTGCCTATATAGTGATTATCCCATGTATTGTGAGAGCTGTGCCAAACTGGTACTGCACATTATGTGGCTGAGCCTCCCAGGCTGGACCAAGTTTCTTTGGGAAAGTGCAGATTAACAGCATCTGTCTGCTTCAGTCTCACTATCTCTATCTAAAGCTCACTGAGCCCAGTTCTCATCCCAAGTGTCTAATAACAAAAATGCCAACATAGCAAAGAGGAAGCAAGTGTTGTTTAGTGCAGCTTGACACTGTATGTCTATGCCCTACAGTTCAGTAAGTCTTTTGCAGTCCCTTTTAATTGGAAAAACAGTACAACTAAATTTAAAAATATTTCTATATGTTTTTCCTAAGAGAATTTCAAAGTGTTTTGGTGAATGCAGGAAATTATTTTATACAGACATTGTGTGGGGTTCCTTGTGTTTGAGCTAGTCCACAAAGAACCGAGCAGGATCCTGCAGACAAAGACAGCAACCAGACTGATGGCTGTGATGAGGGATCCCTTAGTCCCACCTACAGCAACAGGGCCAGAGTTGAGAAGATAGAGAACTGAAGATAATGCTCTGCTAAAAGATCAGTCCTATAAAAGGAGGGAGGAAGATGTCAGCAGCTAAAAGTCCAAAGGATAACCAAAATCAGCAGTCCACACTGGTACTGGGAATGTAAGGAAACTGAGACCATCCCTTTGAAGAGGACTAATTATGATGCCAAGAGTAAGCAGCCCTTCCTCTCCACTTTTATCCAGTGAATATAACTTCAGCCTATTAGGCCATGGTTTGATGACAGAGTAAATGTAGCGCTATGACTCTGAGCTGGATCAAAAATGTCAAGGCTATGTAAAACAGAGTGCTCATTCTGCCTCTTTTTTGGGCTTAAATTAATTTGTTTACAAAAAAAATGTTGACAGGCGAACTTTACACCAGATCAGATATCGCCTGCCTAGGCCCTGTAATGATACCATATCAGGTATCACCCATCTTCCTGCAGCTACTGTAAAAATGCAAAACCATCATCAGTTCTGTGCTTGGGCTAAACCAAAAGTGTGTGCCTGCATCTGAGCTGAATCAAATTTATATTAATGAGCTGAGCTGACAGTGCACCAAAGAGTATTCACGATCCCTGACCAACGGCCTTGGGTGCCAGTGTAATCTAGATAGCATCAGTTTGCATGAGCTTTAATCTATTTCTGGGTGTTTTTCTGCCATAAAAAGATACTCTGTTTCAAAAGGACTTCAGTTTGTGTCAGTGTGTGACCCTGCTGTTTACAGCTCCTGAAGGAAAAACTCACGCCAAACCTGTTGGGCCTGCTGGCTATCAGGACTGGCAATCCAGGGAATGAATCCCATCTCCTAGGGAAGGAGAGCGCTGCCATCCTGCAGTGCACGCTCTGACAGGAACTCCGGGAACTTGCTAAGAGCCTCGGTGAGCACCACCTACAGCTCACCACCTACACTCTCCTGACCCTCACACCATGGGACAAGAGGGCAATGGTCACCTCACCTAGGATGGGTTCAGTTGTGGAGCTGAGCCCATCCAGCCTCGGGGAAGCTTTGGTCCAGCCTTTCCTGCCCGACCCACTATGGTACAGCCAAGACCAGCAAAAGGGCCAGGACCATGGTGTGACCCCGGCAACCACCAGCACTTTGGGCCTGCCCTGCTCCAGCCACACCCGGCCCCATGCAGGAGCCAGCAGCCACTCCCTGGGCTAAAGGGGTGGTGGGAAGTGTCACAGAAATACAGAATATTCTGAACTGGAAGGGACCCACAAGGATCATCGAGTCCAACTGTTAGCCCTGCACAAGACCATCCCCAAGAATCACATCATGTGCCTGAGAGCATTGTCCAAATTCTCACTGAACTCTGTCAGGCTTGGTGCTGTGACCACTTCCCTGGGGAGCCTGTTCCAGTGCCCAAACACCCTCTGGGTGAAGAACCTTTCTCTAATATCCAACTCAAACCTCTCCTGACACAACTTCAGGTCATTCCCTCGGGTCCTGTCACTGGTCACCAGAGAAGAGATCAGTGCCTGATCCTCCTGTTCCCCTCACGAGGAAGTTGTAGACTGTGATGAGGTTTCGTCCAGGCTGAATAAGACAAGTGATCTCAGCCGTTCCTCGAACGGTTTCCCCTCTAGACCCTTCACTATCTCTGTTGCCCTCCTCTGGCTGCTCTCTAATAGCTCAATACTGCACACAATATTCAAGGTGAGGTCGCCCCAGTGCAGAGCAGAGCGGGGACAATCCCCTCCCTCGACCGGCTGGCGATGTTGTGCCCGATGCCCCCCAGGACACGGTTGGCCCTCGGTGTCACGGGAGGGCTCTGTTTACCACGGGGCGTTCCAGCCGCGTGGCTGCTCGGAGCTCAATACCCCGGGAAGCACCAGGGCTCCCCGTCCTCTGCCGGGACCGGGAACGTGGGGCCCCGCGACAGCCTCGCAGAGCAGCAGCAGAGCCCGGCCCGAGGGGTCCCGGGGGGCGGCCCCGGCCCGCGAGGGGCGGTCGGGGGGCGGTGCCGGAGCCGCCGCCGCTCGGCCCCGCCCGCCCCGCCCCTTCCGGGC